CTTACTGCATTTTTTTCATCTGGTGGAGCCCCGGTGAGAGCAACAAGCCGTCTAGCGATTTCAACATATCCTCCTTTTGCTGCTGCATGCAGCGGTGTGTTTCCTTCTCTATCCCGAGCCCCTGGGTTTGCGTGATTCATAAGAAGAGCCTCAAGAGAGAGAGCGGGGACTATGGGGGGGGGTACGGCCTGAAAGGAGGTGGGGGCGGCGGCGAGGTGTATAGGGGCCTTGCCTTTATAGTTTAATTTATTTATTATATGGTGAAGAGTAAGCTCTGCTTTTTGTAGTAAACGTATTGTTGTGGTGTATGCATTGAATGATGCGGCGTAATGTAATACTGTATTTCCTTGTGTATCGACAGCTCCTGCATCTGCCCCGTGATCTAATAAAATACCCACAACACCCCAGTTGTCTGCTGCTGCTGCGTAGTGTAAGGCCGTCAACCCAGCCTGAAGAGAAAGGAAACAAACAAAAAAAAAGAAAAATATAAAGATGCAACATGCAGAAACAGAAGGGAAAGAGAGAGAGAGAGGGAGAGAGAAAGAGGGAGAGAGAGAGGAGACACAGAAAAAGAAAGGAAAGAAACACAGAAAGAGAAGATAAAGAGAAAACAGAGAAAGAGAAACAAAATAAAAACAAAGATTTAAACTAAACAGAAGGAATGCTGCAGAAAGAGCACAGAAAAATACAAACCCCAACAAAAAAACACAAACGACACAAAGAACCGACAAAACAAACAAACAAATAAACAAAAAACAAATAAAAAACAAAAAGAAGAGAAAACAAAGAAAGAAACAAATAAACAAGCAGCAGAAGAGAAGCACGCATGCATCTCTGTATGTATCTTACTTTATCTGTTGCGTTTACATCTGCGTTTGCTAGTAAAAGTTTTTTAGTGAATTCATGTGAGTAAGGAGTGGGGTGAAACGCAGCAACCATCAGCGGTGTACGGCCCCAGGTGTCTGTACAGCTCGGCTTCGCCCCGTAGTGCAGCAGCAACTCAACTGCTTCAATACTATCAGGAGATTGTATTACTGCTGCTGCGTGCAATGGGCTCCCGTTCGCCAGCTGTATACACACAGAAAGTATATTTACATACATACATACATACATACATATATATATATATATATATATATATATATATATATATATATAT